CTCAGTTCTTGCCTTTTTTGTGTTAAGTATATATTTTCTAGTATACAACATTAATTCCTTTTTCTAACTAATTTTATTTTGGTTTTTTTTCTAGAAGTTGCCTTGAAGATTACAAATAACATTTTAACACAATGTACTTTAGGTTAATGCCAACTTGGTTTAAATCGTATATAAAAATTTTGCTGTAATATAGCTCTGTTCCTCCCCACCTCCTTTGGGCTCTTATTGACATACAAATTACATCTTTATACATAGTAAGTCTATCAACACATTTTTATAATTATTAGTTCATGCAGTTGTCTTTTGAAATAAGCCAGACACAGAAAGAAAAATATTGCATGATCTCACTTATATGTGGAATCTGAAAAAGAAAAGGTCAAACAGAAAGAGAAGGAGAATAAAACAGTGGTCATCAGGGACTGGGGTGTGGAGGTAGGAAATGGGGACATGTAGATCAAAGGATACAAAGTAGCAGATATGAAGGATGAACAAGTCTAGAGAACTAATATAACATGAGGACTATAGTTAATAAAATTGTATTGTATTAGGGATTTTTGTTAAATAGATTTTAGCTGCTCTTGTCACAAAAAAGTAACTATGTGAGATGGTAGATATGTTAATTTACTTGACTTTAGTAACCATTTTACTATCTATCTATATATATCCCATAACTATCATGTTGCAAACCTCAAATATACACACTAATATTTATTTTAAAAAAGAAGAAAGGAGTTACTAAAATTTTTACTGTCTTTCATATTTACTTATGCATTTACCTTTACGGTGTTTTTTTAATTTTTATGTGGATTTGAATTACTGTCTATTGTCCTTTTATTCCTCCACGAGAAATTTCTTTAGTATTTTTTGTAGGACAGGTCTGCTAGCAATGAATTCTGTGTCTTTGTTTATCTGGGAATGTCCTAATTCCTCCTTCATTTTTGACAATGATAATATTATATGGAAAATGTAATTTTGTTTGATTTCCTTAAATGCCTCAATCCAGTAAGTCTCCCAGCCTTTGGAGGGGAGCTCTGTTCCTGTGTTGAGAGACATTATTTCAATGCTCTGCCAGGCAGTTTACAACTCTACCTTAGCTTTCACTTGATGCTTGTGTAGGGCCTCAAGATCAGCCAGAGGAGAGAGATTATGGCTTTTTTAGATCTTTTCTGAGAATACACCCAATCCTGAACTTGTGCCTGGCCTAAAAATTCCCAGGAATATGTTAGAGCTTTTCAAAGCTCCCTACAGACAACTAATTCTACAGCTTTTCCTTTTAAGGTTTTGAGCAGCTTCATTTGCCCCAACTCTTATCCTTACCTTAGGCAGCTGTGATTTTTAAACAATTGCAACTGATTAATGTCCCCCTGAAAAGGCAGTTCACAGTGAGTGCACTCTGAGTCAGGTCAAAGAAAGAAGGACCCTGTAAGCGGGAGTTTCTAGGGAGCTACCTCACAGGTCAGAGGGTGACAATTCTCTGGGAATGGAGCATTTTGGGTCACTCCAAACTACCAACTGCATTCTCCAGTGGCTACTAGGTTGCTATTTGTCACGGATACTGTAGTTGTGAGGCTGTTGGCTTTCAGGGATGGTAGTATTCTTACAAGATTCAGCCATTTTTCTTGAATAAACATAAACACTTATTGGATTGTTGCAAGCTTTTGGTTAACTTCCAGAGTTCTGAAAAGTTGATTTTGATAATTTTGCCAGTGTTACTGCATTTATGTAGGAACAGATTTTTAGAGGATCTTATTGCACCTTTCTGGAAGTCCAGAGCTGAAGGATACCTTTGATTACGTTCAATTTTCAGAGAACTAAATATCTTCAGAGATGCATCTCCATCATATACCACTTTGCCTCAATTCAATTTTACAAGTATTTGTTGCACTTCTATTATTTCCTCAGCATTGTACTTGCTACCTGTTTATCAGTTTTCTAAGAAACTTCTGTTTGGTAGTTTAGAACAGGGACGCCAAATCCTGCCTTGTGTCTTGGTTATTTTTGTATGGATTGTCCCCTGACTTAAAAAAAATGGTTTTTACATCTTTAAAGGGTTATAAAAGAAACAAAACTCAAACAAAGAAGAGTATGTGACAGAGAACTGTATGTGACCAGCAAAACAGCCTAAAATATTATCTGGCCTTTCACAGAAAAAGGTTGCCAAACCCTGATTTATAGTGAAGAGATGGTAGGTTGGTGAGAACTGAGCCTATTTGCTGTAATTGCCTTTGTTGTGTTTCTTAATCATTCAATATTCCTTTGACAGTGCCAAATTATAGTCTCAGAGCTGGAAGAGACTTTACAGATTTGTCCATTCCAAAGGCTGCATTTTATTGATGAAGAAACCAAGACTTAAAAACTTGTTCAATGTCATAGTACTAATTAGCCAGGACTAAAACATCAGGTTTCTGAATATGCTTTACTTCTCTTTCCATACAAAGCTGGTTGAAAGTGTTCCTGCCCTTTCTTTCTCAGCAAGACCATTCTCAATATTAGGTAAATAAGTGCTTCTCCTTCCTGTTCTCCTTTTTTCTCAGTTCTACATTTTCCTCTTCTTCGAGGAGATGCTGTGTTCCACATTTTCTTTGGACAATCCACTATTGAAGTTGTTTCCATTATACGAAAGTTGGGGGTGGATCTCTTAAATAGTCACAGAACTGATCCTATAATTTCCAGTTCTCTTTGGTATCTTACTAATAACATTAACATTATGAAAACAGTGGTTTTAAAAATTGTGCTCCATCTGGGGAAGGGGAGAAGGTTGGAACTGGGTAAGACTCTGCTTTCCCCTCCTCCAGTTCAACCAAAACAAGTACACTTTTATCTGTTTCATATATTGGGCTTCCAATGCAAGATTTCATTGGAATAGAGGATTTAAAAGATGAGAGAGGGAGGGAGAAAGAGAGAGAGAGAGAGAGAGAGAGAGAGAGAGAGAGAGAGAGAGAGAGATTAATTTGAATCCCACTAATTGAGATGGCCATGAATGAAGTCCAAGAGGAATCACAAGGATCTCCCAATAAAGTTCTGGGAGCAATAGGAAAAATCAGTGCCATATCATTTCCCTCATTTTCTCAAGACAGAGACAAGGCTTGGGGCAGTATTGGAGCCAGTAATCCCAATTTCTGGTGGGAAACAGAAGCATCAGAAAATAGGTTAGAAGTAGGTAGATATTGTACATTTTTTCAGTTACCATTTGTTTGGGCCTGGCAGTTCTCTGGGAGCCTGAAATGAACCCACGTATGTATCCACAGCTGATTTTGGCAAAGGTACAAATGTGAATCAATGGAGGAAAGATAGCCTCTTCAATAAACGGTTCTGGAGCAATTGGATTTCCATAGACCAAAAAAAAAAAAAAAAAAAAAGAAAGCAATGAGGCTCAACCTAAACCTCTCATATTATGCAAAAATGAACTAAAAATGGATTATAGGCAAAGAATTCTTAGATTTGACAATAAAAGTAAAATCCATAAAAGAAAAAATGAAAAACTGATAAACTGGATACATTGAACCTCATCAAAACCAAAGACCACGCAAAAGGAATGAAAAGACAAGCTGTATACTGGGAAAATATTTGCAACCCACGTATCTAACTAAAGGCTTATTTAGAGAATATAAAAATAGCTCTTAAAGTCAACAGTAAGAAAAAATTCAATTAGGAAATGAACAAAAGATATGAAGAAACATTTCACTGAGGAGGGAATACAGATGTCAACTAAGCACATGAAAAGATGTTTAACATCATTAGCCATTAGGGAAATACAAATCAAAACCACAGGGAGATATTACTACATATCCACAAGAATGGCTAAAATAAAAAGCAGTGAAAACCCCAAATACTGGTGAGGATGTGGAGAAACTGAATCACTAATACTTTACTGGTGAGAGGTGAAATGTAAATGGTATAGCTGCTCTAGAAAACAATATGGCAGTCCTTACCAAACTAAACATGCAATTACCATATGACTCAACAATTATACTCTTGAGTATCTATCTCAGAGAAATGGAAACATAGAGCTGGAGCTCGTTTCTCCTAAGTGAAGTATCACAAGAATGGAAAAACAAGCACCGCATGTACTCACCATCAAATTGGTATTAACTGATCAACACTTATGGGCACATATTGTAATAACATTCATTGGATGTTGGGCAGGTGGGAGGGGAGAGTTGGGGATGGGTATATTCACACCTAATGGGTGCGGTGTGCACCGTCTGGGGGATGGACACGCTTGAAGCTCTGACTCTGGCGGGGCGAAGGCAATATATGTAATCTAAATGTTTGTACCCCTGTAATATTCTGAAATAAAAAAGAAAATATCTGATCACATGAAAACTTGTACATGAATGTTTACAGCAGCTTTATTTGCAATAGCCCCAAACTAGAATCATCTCACATGTGTTTCACCAAGTGAATGATTAAACAAGCTGTGGTACGTCTATGCCATAAAATACTGCTTAGCAATATAAAGGACCAAACTAATGATACATACAACTACTTGAATGAATCTCCAGGGAATTATGCTGAATGAAAAAGAGCACTCCCAAAAGGTTACATACTATATGATTTCATTCATAGAACATTATCGAAATGCCAAAATTAGAGATGGGAATCAGATTATGGGTTGTCAGGGCTTAGTCATGGGAGGGGTGGATGTAGCTATGAAGGGGTAGCACAGGGGGCCCTGCGGTGAGGGGTACAGTTCTGTATCTTGACCGTGGTGATGGTCACACAAATATACACATGATAAAATTGCATAACTACACACACATATGCACACACACAAATGAGTGCATGTAAAACTACAAGATGTTATCATTAGGGGAAATTGAGTGAAGGATACCTTGGTACAAGGGTATTTCCCTATGCATTTTTCCAACTTTCTGTGAATCTATAATTATTTTAAAATAAAATTAGAGAAAACATTAATTAAAAAAACTAAAACAGCCATTCCAGAGCTCAAGATGTCAAGAAAAGGAAAGTTAACTTTGTCTCTTCTCTTCTCACAGGACCTGTACCTGCCTCTGTCCTTGGATGACTCAGACTCACTTGGCGATTCCATGTGAAAGAGGAGAGTGTTCAGAGTCCAGAGTACAAATCCAAGCTTACCATTACAGTAGGGTACTTCTGCTCAAGTGTCCAACAGGGCTATTGGTGCTTTCAAATTTTTATTTTGTTGTTGTTATTGTTTTAAAAACACACTGTAATATGTTGGGTTTATTTTTCCTGTGATTTCTCCTCTGGGCCACTGATCCACAGTTACCAATTCTGAGAGATAGATTGATAACCATCCTTTGGGGGTAACCTTCCAGGGATGCAAAATGTGCTAGTCCGTGACCTTTCTATGGAAAGCTTAGGCACCTGCATTATATTTGCCCCGTCTCACTTTGCTCATATGCTATAGTCTTTCTTCTGTAGAGTGCTGTTTACATACATAGCACTTAACAATGTTTATGTGGGGAAAAAAGCTCATTCATTGGCAGATCCAAGAATGACCAACACAAGTACCCCACATCTCTCGATCTCAAGGATGCTGGAGGATCCCAGGAGGACAGCAAGGCAGCTCCCCAGCTTTGCTTTTCCCTCCTGATTGAGCCCTGGTTTGTTGTCCAGCACTAAGTCTGGCTGTCAAGGGGGAGAATCACCAGCAACTTATAACTGCGACACCAGATGTTTAGGACTCCGGTGCGGGGCTAGCTAAAACAGACTAGGCAGAATTGGTAATTATAGCAGACATTTCAGTAGAGTTTATAAAGCACAGATTCCTGGTCAACCTCTCCACTGGGGCAATTTGGAATCAAGAAGCAATCGATAAAAGTTTGGAGTAAGAGACTTCATATGCCTGATTCCTGAAGGAGGCTGTCTAACATACCAAGTTATTACATGAACTGTATGGTATCCATCTATCTCTGTTCTATTGAATGCCTTGTAAACAGCCAACACTGAAAACACTGTGAGAATTTGTTTTCAGGTCTGACACCTTTCAGTCGCTTTTTATAGCAAGAAACCAATATCCTTTTTATAAAAACTTGTGTCTGTATTTCAGGAGCAAACTCTTCAGGCTCCTTTTTTATAAACTGGTGATTTTTCTTTTGTCTAAAAAACACATGCAGAAAACTTACCAAAAAAATGCAGAAGACTAATGTAGTTTAGAAAACATGCTGTCACTGCCAAACAGAAACCTCCAGGAGAAAACAAAATGAATAGCAGAGGCCAATTCAATAGAATCAGTTTTTGATAGCTTTTTAACAGTTATACTTGCATTAATAATTTCAATGTGGACCAGACATTCTAATTATATTTTAAATGAAATGTTATGGCATATTTTAAGCAACTCTTTTTTATCTACAATCCTAATATTTCATACTGAAGACACAAAAACCTTTCACTTGTTTTTAACATTTGAAAGTTGTTCTCTTTACTAAGGACTGATCATTTGAAATAGTTCTCAGTCTTTGAGATACAGGTTCATAACACAGCTTTTTGTCTGTAATCATAGCCCATAATGGTAGAGACAACTAAATTTAAGTGAAAGCCATGCATGCCAATTCTGTGTTTGCTTTTAGCAGATATGAGAATTTCTTCATTTCCTTGTAATTGTTCAGATATTTTGAAAGGTGCAGCATTCAAAGCCAACCTGCCGTTTGGCTACTGAATGACTTGCAGTTGTTCCTCCACAATGGAATGAGCTTGCTGTGTGTGTATATGCATTTGCAGTTGCTTCATAACTAGAAAATACTACAGGACACCCCAACATGGATTGGTGGCAACTTGAGGGCATTGCTGATGTGCACTGTGTAGGGGGGAACCCAATGGTGAAAGGGGTAGCTTAGATGCCCCTAGAAAAGTTTAAGATGTCCTCAGTTACCAGAAACATTTTTGGTTCAGGAGAAGTGAGATGATAGTAGCACTGGTTTCTGGTTAAATTGGTCATTGAATAACCCAAATCATGAGAATCTCTCTCTACCCTCCTCCTTTATTGGTAGGCCCATTCGAAACTATTAAGAAGCCCATTTTACTCAGCCCCTATTTCTTTCTGGAAGCTCAGGGTTTTCTCAGTGCCTCTCAGAACAGATTTTAGTTTAGAGGGAAAAGGTGGTACTTGGGATTAAGGGGTGGGGCTAGAGATTGGTGAGACACCTGTTTTTAAACTCTAGGCCAGACCCCCAAAGACTCCAACCATAAATTCTCTCTAGATCTCATTTTGTCCAATACCTTCATTTTAAGATGAGGAAACAAAGGCTGGTAAAATGTATGACCAGAGGAAGAATCTGGATTTCCTCATGCCAAGGCCCCATATTAGCTCTCTGAGCATTTCCTTGATTGTGGCATATGTACCACTAGAAAATACTAAATGGACATATTTTTTTAGAATGAACTTTGAACCAACAATCTTCTATAACAATAGTACCCTTTCCATAGTTCTTGTAATCAATTATAAGGGACTGTTTCTATACTGCCACTTCACGGGGGTTTGGTATAGTTCAAAATTCAAGTCTCCAATAATCACATTTTAAATCGGCCCATTTTCAAGGCAAAAAATATTTTGTGTATAACTGAGCTCCTTCGCCCTGTCATTCATTTCCAATTTTACCCAATCCAGTTCTACCACTCAAGTCCCATTGTGTTAACTTCTGCACAGTCAGCAAACATCAAGTCAGCAAGCATTGGCCACCACTCCCTACGCTTTTTCCTCCCTCTTAAACACACACACACACACACACACACATGCACACTCCATCTGTTGCTTGTTCCTACCTCCTGATTTTTCTTCCCTACGGAAATAGAAATAGGGACAAAGAAGGGGAAAATGTATATATGGGGGCTGGGCTGAACAACTAACTTCATAAGTAGTGTTAACTAGGGGTAAATTGAGAGAAAAGCTCCTTTTCTCTTCACTGTTTTGGAAAGGATAGCCATTGGCATGACTGCTTTGTGTCCTTATGGACTTTAGTATTAGCTTAGATTGAATCATAGAGTTTTCTAGCTGGAAGGAACCTTAAGATCACATCATCTACTGCACACTCCTCATTTTTAAGGCCAGGAAACGAAGATACAGAGGTAAAGTAATTTCCCCCGAGGTCACACAGCTGGCTAGGGGCAGGGCTGGGATTAGAACCCACATCTCCTGGCTCTTATTCCAGGGCTTTTTCCCACTAAATAGTATTGCCTTCCACTAGGCTCCTGAGAATTCTTTCCCAGGGTCATGTTGCATCTTGGAGCCATATGCTGTTGCCCTGATCTCAGCGGGAAATCTACCAGCAACCTAATACAGGCCTCTTTCCCTGCATTCACATGGTTCCCATCTGCATGGGTCGCAGATGTCCCTGAAGAGAGGGAGGCATTGAAGACCAATAGGAACAATTGGGTCCTTAGCCCTGTCCATCCATCTGACTCAGGGGATCATTGCCCCATCTTGAGGAGCTTTCTGAATAGACCGTCAAACTCCTGCCAAATGGAATGGAGGAAGCTCACCTCATGTCATCTCCATGTCAACCTGGCTGATCTTTCCAGGCTGAGGGAAATGTTTCTTCTTTCTAGAGCAGGGAAAAGAATAAAGGAAGAGTGAAACAATAGCTTTGTTCAGCCTGACTTTCTGAGGTGGCTTTTTAGCATTTTTGAAAAATGAATGTGGCTACTGTGCATTGGTAATGATTTCTTTTAAAATATGGGAGTGAGACAAACTAGAGGAAACAACCTGGTCTTGCTGTGGTTTCCCTCATCCACAATGTCCCCAAAGCCATCCTACCCTGATGGGGAAAATCTCCAGGTCTAAGCAAGGGGCTTTGAGACTAAAATGTACCCTGGCTGATGTTAAACATTAGATCCTTGTGCTTGCACCAAAATGGCAAGCTGTGTGCTCTATACACCATACTCATCTTCTTGTGCACACTGCTTCTGTGGCCTTCCATGGCAGAAACCAGGGAAATAAGTTCTGAACACATAGTTTTCCTTGCAACAAGGCTCTTTCTGGGAACTAAAGGGTATTTATTAATTCAGTTTTAAGAGACCTCCTTTTGGGCTTACCCCATTCCTCAGGTACTTCTCTCTCCTTTCTGTTTCCCCTCTCCAATCAGAAGTAATGAAAGAAACATTAAGTGGATGTGTAGCTATCTGAAGATGGCGAGAAGAGGGTCTGAGCTCTTAGATTCTTTTTAGAATAACCTAGCTGAAGTCTTACACCAGCAATCCAGTCCTTGCCTCTGATAATATTGTGTCTGTGTGTTCCTAGTCCCTCCCTTCAAATTTAATTCAAATGGCTCTTATTTTTTAGAAAATACATATCTCTAGGACAGGAGAACAGTCATGCCCATGTCCCCAAAATGTGCTCTAGCACACTGGTGGGAATGTTCCCAAAGATCAGCCCACCTCAGAAACATCTGTGCCGAGACAAAAGTACTGGGACAGTGTGGTTTGAATGACCTCCTTCATGGTGGTCCAGTTTGCTATGGAAATAAAAGGCACTGGATTTTTCTTTCCTTTCTTCCTTATTTTTTTGAAAAGGCGATTGGAACCTGTCCTTGACCACATGGGGCCACTTGGATCCATGGCTAGGCCTTGCTCATATATTGCTGTCACTGAATTAAGGGATTTGGCTTTTAGGCTCAGACTGGTGTTTTGGAGCTCATCTGGGTTGGGGAGGGGCTGGAGGCCTGTGTTTTCGGAAATGGAACCCAGAGAGGGCAAAGGCTGAGGCCTGGCCCAGCCATTGATAATCAGGAGTGATCTGGGACCTCTTTTATAGCAATAAAGCTTTGCAAATGTTAAGCTTCCTGGGTCTACTCGTATGGAATTTAGAAGCTGTCACTTCTGCCTCTGGACTAAGAAGAGGACCTCATATGTAGTGCCATCCACTGTTCTATGAGTCCATGAAGGTTTTCCTCTTCCTTGCAGGCGTGACTACCAGAAGCAAGGATAGTGCATCTCCAACAGGTTTTCTGGCTGTTGGTGGCCCAGTTCCAGTCTAGTGCTATTAACACTCAGTAGATTATCCTTAGTCAGCCCCTGAAGACTGTGATTATGGACCAAGACAACACAAGCCATTTCTTAAAAATGAATTCCCAATTTTATTCTTCCTCTGGCTAGCAGACCTCACTTCTCTAGGAGACAAAAGGCTGGAGGTTCTTGTTAAATAGCAGCCAAAACACATATGCAAGGAGGAAAATACATTTCTAACCCTACAGAGCACTGACTCCAGAAGGTGACCTACTGTGGGCTGGGACTGTTAGCAGTTCTCCTAGCTTCTTCCATGTTCTCTTCTTGAGACTGGAAAGCTCCTTCTTCATCAGCCTGGCTTTCAGTATGCCTGGCTGAAGAATACTGTCCCCCAATCCCTTCAGGAAAAGGTGCCTTCCTTCTCTGTCTCCTAAACCCTGGTCCCCAGAGTTTGCTTCCATCCCCAAAAGTCTAGTGTGATCTTTACACCCAGCCTCTTGGTGTTTCTTCCTGCTTGTTTCCTCATTAAGGATCTATGCAGCCCTCCCACTTTGGCCTAGCTAGTGTGATGTTGGTTACCACTTGACAACTCTAACTTTTTATCCCTTAGTTTGTTGGCTTCAACATCCTCTGAAATCAGAGGTTTTTTTTTTTTTTTTTTTTTTTTTACCTTGGATGCCTGAGATTAGGGGAGTATAGAATTCCTGTTGGGAATTAAGGCATCTTCCTGCTCCTGATTAGAAGGGCAGATTAGTTGGGAGAGGTCAGATGGCACAACAGAAGTCACCTTGTGAACTAAGGCAAAGTCTTGAAGAAATTGGAATTTCTCATTTCTGGGTTAATGACCTGAGGGAATCAATGGCTTTTGGCCACTCTACCTCCTGTGTATCTTTTTTCTTTCTCTCTCTAGTTTCCTAGATTCTTAGTTTATACTCTGTGTTATCACTCTCTCTTTCCACAGTACAAACATCCATTCTTTGTCCTGTGTAATTTTCTCTCTCTCTCATTCTCTTTTTATTTTTTCCTGCCTCTTGTCTAGGTGTTGGGCATATGCCTCTTCTTAGCCTGTGATTTTGCCTTAGGACTGATGAGAAATTATTTCCCGATTCAACCAGACCTGGTCCTACTCCCATCCAGTAGGAAGTGTGTTGGTGGGACTCAACCTGATCCTGGCCCTTTCTTCTTTTCCATTTTCAGTCTTAATTTCCCTCAGCATATCCCCACAAGAAGTTTCCTTATAGCTCATGTATCTTTAGGTCTTTGCCTTCCAAGCACTGTATAAAATACTTTGTGGTTCCTTTTTTTAGTCTGCCATTTTGTGGAGCGGTGAGGCGTGCTCAGAGAAATAATCAGCTGAACAAAAAAAAATCCACCCATGGATTCATATCAGCTAAATACTAATAATTGATTTAGTTTAATTTGCTCATAGTTTTAAAAGCTGCAATATAATATAATGAGAGACCACAGGTAATTTCTCCTGTCATTTGGTTTGTCTGGGTGGGGGTGGGGCAGTAATTGTTTAAAGTTTTACCATCAAACATTAAGCTCTCTGTAATAACTTTGTTTGGGGCTTGCTAACTGTTGAGTTGTTTTAGCTAAACTGGTAGGCAATTGGGGTTGATTTAAATGAAAAGGATATTTTACAAATCCATACTATGAAAAGAAACATTTAGTTAATTGAAATGTATTTTTCCTTCTGTTACTTAATTCACCTAAACATTTACTTTTGACACCAACTGTTCATGATCCTGAATAACCAGTCCATATAAGAGTAATTAGTGAACCTAAAGAAGCCAGCTTATACGTGCTAATTTATTCAACAGAGTGCAGAGCCCTTGGGAATGTCACTGTTTGGCAGTACCACATGGAATGCCAAAATTTCCAATGACTTTCCTTTTTAAGTTCTCTTAAAGGGGTTTGAGCAAGTAAGAGATTATGCCAAAATGTCTCCAATATATGGTCTTGTAATATATTGCAGCTTGAAGCCAATGATTCCTTAAGACTTGTACACAACTAATGCATGTTTTGATTGAATTTTGCATTTCCCATGTGTGGTAAGTTCTTTAAAATGTTTTGGGTCACTTTTTTGTGCCATGAAACTTGTACAGAAAATGCTTTTATGGCCATTTTCAAAGGGAGAAAGTTTAAAATGGAAACAGCCCACCCTTTCTGCCCTATAGCTGTAGTTAGAATTGAGTAACTGTAGCAAAACAGCTGTTAATTGGTGGTCGTAGTGTTAGAGGCGTTAGCTTGCTAGTGACTAGCTTTGGAGAGTAAATGCATGGTATTGTACATCACATTTCTTAAATAACTCATTTTAACCTCTGAAAAGAATATATTCTTCGTTGTGCTCCCTTTTCCCACCCCCCTCGACTTCTCCTTTCCCTGCTCCCAGGTGTCTTATAGTTGTAAATAACTGATTTGGGGGCCAGTAATTCTTGCCAAGTAAAGTCAGCAAAGAGCAAACAAACCAAAAAGTGGGAAAAAGGCATTTCTCAACAGTGTCTCAACAGTTCTGGACCATTTCTCAAGAAATGGCATTGTGATCGCAGACTCAACTCCTCTTTGCATGAAAATCAGTGGCAAATTGGGAGTATCTTTGGCCATTTGGTTACATTACACAATTGAATAGTTCTTAGAATCATACATAACCCAAAGAAAGTAGACAATGATGTCCCTTGTTCCTGCAGCAGTTTTGAGGTATTTAGAGACTTCAGAAGGCTCTGCTTGACCAATGATCAATAATTATTTGAAAAAAAAAAAAAAAGAAAAGAAAACAGAGGAATACAACAGATACTTAGGGTGTTTAGCCACCCTTTTAGAATAGTTATAGCCAAAATAAAAATAAAAAGGACATGTATTTATATGCATTGATGTCAGCATCCCAGGCAATGCCTAGCCCACTCAGTTCCCACTTGAACTGGCAGGTTTGGTGAGGCCCATGTAAACCAGATGGAGCAGACCCTTTTCTTCTCCTGTGCCTGTTAACATCCCTCTCCCCATCCCTCCACAATTCGATGAGGGCTTTCTTGGGTCAGAGGACTTCAAGGTTGTCTAGAGAAGTTCCCCGTGTGTGTAAGGTGTTGTGAACTGTGAATGCTGCAGATTCTCAGCATTCAATACTGGGCAGCCAAAGAGCTGCTCTTGCAATCATTTTGGCTCTCAAGCTCTGTTCTTCATTGCATTCTCATTTCTGTGTACATTTGCAAGATGTGTGTAATGTCATTTTCCAAAAATAAAATTTGATTTCAATATTTCTGGCTGACATTCTTTTTATAAAAAAACCCCACTGAACCAATAATCATATAACCACAAAATGTCCACGCTGGCAGGAAACTACATTATTTTGTCCAACCCCTTCATTTTGTAGATGAGGAAGCTGAGGATCAATGTATAATGGAAACACCATAATTAACAGCACAGCACATTTGCAACATGTAAGATCTTGGATCTCCCTCCAGAGTTGAACAGGAATAAAATGACCTCTTTTTGTGTATAAGATGCTTTGGCCAAGGTCAGCCTGTGTCATCAGAACAAGTGGTCACTTCTAGTACTGTGTTTTCAGAGGCCAAAGAAAGACTCCATGTTCCTCAAAAATATCTCTACCTGCTGCCTGAAATTCCTTTAACAGTGTGGCTGTTCTTCCTCAATAGGCTGATGGTGCAGTTACTCTCTGGGAGAGGCAGTACGTAAATAACTTATTCACCCTCAGGCATAAATGACTAATTAAATATTTTTCTCAGATCAGGTTCCAATGGGATTGAAAACATACAACACTGGGCTTGAGAAGAGGTTGATGGAAAGAGAGGGAGGAAAGGACACAGAAAGAGGAGGCTGAGATCTCAGGAAATGGTTTGACCAACCTCACAATTATATGAGGGCCAACCCTGCAGCTCCCATCTGACCTGTGTTTGGAGAAGCAAAGATGCCAGCATCCCATGGCACTCCCAAGGACTGAGATGATTAGGAATTCTTCTTCTATACAGTATTTTATCAACTGGCCCTGTGACCATCACTCTGGTGGGACAAAGAAAGAAAATGGAAATGGGACTTTTTGGTGTTTCTAATCCAAAGAGAAGTTGGATACCACAATTAGACTGGCTAGGCTTCTGGCTGACAGTCTTCATCCCTACTACCATCAGGTCCTCCTTTTCCCTGATTTCTCATGATGTCACTTTCATCCACCTTGGTCTATCCTGGTCTACCCTGCAAGTAAAAATCTTTCTAAAAGATCATTTTGGTCACAACAGGACAAATACTGTATGGTTCCACTCACACGAAGTATCTAAAGTAGTCAACGCATAGAAACACAAATCAGGATGGTGGTTACCAAGGGCTTAGGAAGGGGAGTGGGAGAAATTAGCATTTAGTGGATGTACAGTTTCAATGTTACGGGATGAAAAATTTTAAAGATCTGTTGCACAACTGAACTATACAGTTAAAAATGATTAAGGAAGTAAATTTAATGTTATGTGGGGTTTTATTTCTTTTGAGACAATAGTCTTACTTTGTTACCTGGGATACAGTGCCATGGTGCCAGCCTAGCTCACAGCAACCTCAAACTCCTGGGCTCAAGTGAGCCTCCTGCCTCAGCCTCCCGAGTAGCTGGGACTACAGGCACATGCCACCATGCCCAGCTAATTTTTTTCTATATATTTTTAGTTGCCCAGCTAATTTCTTTCTATTTTTTTTTTTTTAGTAAGAGACAGGGTCACACTTTTGCTTAGGCTGGTCTCGAACTCCTGAGCTGAAAGGACCCACCCACCTTGGCCTCCCAGAGTGCTAGGATTACAGGCGTGAGCTACTGTGCCTAGCCATATGTGGGTTTTTTAACCACAATATAAAATCATTTTGATTGTCTTATTTCTCTGACCAACAACTTATGATAGTCATATATTGCCCATTAGATCAAGTCCAATTCCTTTTCATGGTTTTCATTAAGACATCTCTGGAGCAATAACTACATTTTGGGTACCCTGCCAATTGCTAAGCCTTGGACCTAGACGTCTAGAAGTTCCAGCCTAGTGAAGACAGATTTGTAAATAAATGAGTCAAGTGCAACGGAACAAGACCTGTGGGAACACCAGTGATGGGACAATTAATGATCCAGGATGATGAAAGTCAGGAAAACTTCATGGAACTGGCAGTATTTGAAAACAGATAGAGAGCTTTCCAGGTGGGCAGGGAGCATTCTAAACAGAGGGAATAGCATGGGAAATGGCAGAAAAAGCAAGACTCTCTCTGGGAACTGATAATTGCCCGAGGTGGCAAGGTTATAGACCCAGCACACAAGGTTCTGGGAGAAAAATACAAGTGATACAAGTGCAGTAGCCTGGAAATTATAGTTTAGGTGGTTCCCAAATGCTGTTACAGCAACCAGGGGTGGTCTGTAATAAAATTTCCACCAGACTCTGGTGGGAAGAGAAATCTAAGGACAATGTAGTGTGTTTTTTAAATAGAAATAAACATACTTCATCTAAAGAACTCTTTAGTTTTGAGATCATATCCTTTTTACTTTTCATTACTTAAAATGTCCTTTCTTTTATGAAAATGTGGTCATGGTAGAAGATATTTAATAGGTATATGTATGTTTTTGAATGTCCTAACAAGGCAAAACTAAAAGTGAATAATAGTAGCATGGGGGCTCAAATCAA